TGATGCCATCCAACCATCTCATCCTCTGTCACCTCCTTCTCCTCCTGCCCTCAATCTTTCCCAGCATCAGGCTCTTTTCCATTGAGTTGGCTCTTCATATCAGGTGGCCAAGGTATTAGAGCTTCTGCTTCAGTCCTTCCAATGAATATTCAATGTTGATTTCCTTTAGGATTCATGGGTTTGATCTTCTTGCTATCCAAGGGACTCTCAAGAGACCTCTCCAGCACCACAGTTCAAAAGTATTATCAATTTTTCAGGACTGAGATTTCTGTATGGTCCAACTCTCACATCCATACCTGACTACTGGAAAAACCATAGCTTTGACTAGACAGACCTTTGTCAGCAAAGAGATGTCTCTGCTTTTTAACTCACTGTCTAGACTTGTCATGGCTTTCCTTCCAAAAAGCAAGCATCTTTTAATTTCATGGCTGCAGTCACCATCCACAAATATTTACAGCAGTTTTTTCTTGATATCCAGAACCTTGCAACAACTCAAAAATCTATCAATGCACAAATTCTGATATCTTCATACTATGACCTGTGTGTATGCTAAGTCGCTTCAGTCGTGTCCAACCTTTTGTGATTCCATGGACTATAGCCCACCAGGCTTCTTTATCCATGGGATTCTCCAGGCAATAATACTGGAGTGGGTTGCTATGCCTTCCTCCAGGAAATCTTCCTGACCCAGGGATTGAACCCACGTCTCTTACATCTTCTGCATTGGCGGTCAGGTCCTTTTACCACTAGCACCACCTGGGAAGCCCACAAAATGGCCTATTATGAAGGAAAAAGAAAAAACAATAACCCGCTACCACATGTAAAAACAAAGATGAATATCACAGACATAATGATGGGAAAGAAACCAGATACAAAGAGTGCATGCTATACAATTCCAATTATATGGAATTAAAGAACAGATGAAACTTATCTAGTAATACACATCAGAAGGCTATTTCTTGAAATGACAGTGAAAATTTACTAGAAAGAAACATACCAGAGCTTCTGAATGCTCAAACAAAAGTCTTTATCTTGATGGCAGCTAAACATGTAGGTTCACAGGTAAAAATACCACTAAACTATATAGTTAAGATCTATGAACATCAATCAATAGCTCAATTTAATGAAAAAAGGAAAAGTTTTGGTTTCCCTTTATCAATTCTACTTCAGATAATTTATGATACAGATTTTCTAATGTGTAAAACCATTCTATACACAGACATTATTAGAAACAAACAATATAGAGAAATGCCCAAATAAATGATGGTAAGGTCATAAAGTAATATTCAGAGACAAAAAAGAATGAGAAAGCTCTCTAACACTGAAGTTTTCAGAAAGGAAATCCAGTAGTGGGATTAAAAAGACATTTGTGGAGTCTGAACTCCAACTCTACACTAACTACCTTTGTCAACCTGGTCATGGTCCTTCACTTCCTTGGTTTCTCCATCTGTAAACTGGGGGTAATAATAGTAGCGCCACATTTCATGATGTGGTTATGATGACCAAATAGGTTAATGTAGGTAAAGATTTAAGAGAACCCAGTGCATTAAGTACTTAATAAAAACTAACCACTGCCATCACTACCCTCATATCATCCTAAGAACATCACCAACAGAAGGCAGCGTCATCAGTGTTAAGATATATTGTTCCATGGTTATCACCATCCTTGACATAAGATATACTGCTTCATGGAGACAGGCATGGGTTAGAATGTTTGTAGCACGCTACCTTCATATAAAAATGTAAGAAAATAGGATTATGTATCCATTTTGTTGTAGTATATGTGAAAGTCCTTCAATAATGTGTAAAAAAAATGATTAAGGTTATCTATTCTGTGGAGAAGAGACAATAGAGTGTCAGTTTAATTTCTCACTGTACATTAGTTAGAAATAATTCAAACATTTGATCCATGTGAGTATAATACCTACTTAAGAATTATATAAACAATGCTAACATTCATGTTCAATTATAGAGTAAATGACACCACAGTTTGCCTTGAAAAAAGACTAGAGATGTAAAAACAAATGAGTGCTCTCTGGTTTCATGTGTTTCTAGGTGAATATAATAACAAAGGAGAATCAAGATATAGTGGTTATTTTATCTTCATTACTAATACCAATTAAATAGTAAGTACTACCATGAATAATTTGGCCCTCCTCATTAAGTTTTTTTGTTCCCTACTGACCTCTGGTCAACTGGTTATTTTTGATCACATAATTCAAATAAACTCAATTTCTACCTAACTTTTTCCTCTGAGAACTTGGAATATAAATGGTTATTGCAGGATACCTACTGACCTATGTTATCTGTCTAGAACTATGGATATCTATTTGAGATTTTCAAACAAATATATTCTTTTCATTTCATTTCCTAAATACACATTTTTTTTAAAAATTCACAGCAGGAAAAGCTTTATGAGCTAGCTGCCAATAAAGGAATTTAGACTTGCTGAATAAAACCCTACATTAAAGCAGTTCTCCAAAAAAAATAGGATTTTATCTATTATTCAAAACGGTGTCAGGCAAAGAAAAAAAGATGTTGACTTCCAATTTTTAAAGCTATGTTTCCTAACTCAGACATGACTTTATTTAAGAGTAGGTATGATTTCATTAACTTTGCCTTCATGTTTCATCAGCAACTCTAAAAATGCCGTATACTAACTGACAATTTTGTCAACAATTTCAAATCCTTTTCACCTTGCTACCTCTAGGTGGCACAGTTATATTTAAGAAAAGAGAAAGGATATTCTTTGAAAATAGAAAAAAAAAGTGCTGTATTTTAGCTTTAAGAATTGTGTATTACATTTTTTAAAAGATTAAAAGTATGAAAGATAAAAGAATAGCTTATTCCTTCAAGAAAAGGATTATACTAATTTAAACTGTGGAGAAGAACAGCTCGGAAGTTCAAAAATAGATGTTTTAACTGGTATTAAATAAAAATAAAAGTTTCACATGGTATATTATCTTGTCTTAAACACTGAAGCTTATAAAATGCCTTTCGTTGTGTGTCTGCAGTTCATTTCTCTTGCCCAACTTTTTCTAGTTAACTACTAAAAAAATTTCAAATGATGCTGCTGCTGCTGCTGCTGAGTCGCTTCAGTCGTGTCCGACTCTGTGCGACCCCAAAGACGGCAGCCCAACCAGGCTCCCCCGTCCCTGGGATTCTCCAGGCAAATGATGCTACATCTCTCTTATTTCTCCTTCAGTACTTCTCGTTTCCACGTTATTTTATAATCAAAACCTGAATGAGAAAATACCTTCAAACTGAAAGAGTAAATGCTTCATATTTTAATTACTGCTTCAAGCATTCTTTGAAAGCTGACTATAAAACAATAAAATGTGAACTTACAGAAACCAGACTTGGACTTAAAGAACTCAAACATCTATTTGTGAAGAGATTCCTATACTATTAACACTAAACCCAAAAGGAGAGATGACTTACATCAACACAGCTGAGTCCTTTCCTAGTGTAGACCCCACCCATTGTCTGCTGGGTTAAATAACACACACATTAATCTTTCTGCCCTGCTTGACAATCTACTTACTCCTCTGCCTGTTCGGGACACTAGGTAGGTAGCCTAATTTGAGGAGCAAAGAGAAAACCAAAATATAAAGCTGAAGAAAATCTACTCCAATTAAAGCATGCTTCAAGACCATTTCCAGTGAAAATGCTCTTTTGTAGTTTTAAGAAAAGAAAATTCACTTAGAGCAAATATCATGTTTCAAGATTATTTGGTGCTTTGATAAAATGTTGTCTAGATAACAGATTCAGAGCTGGTGGCAGAAATCAAAACGGAAGCGTCCTTACTCCCAGGCTAGCCTCAAGCCATTGCTAAAAAACGTCCTTCATGTTCATCAGTAATTTCTTCCACTCTGCTCTAAATGCATGCATACATGCTTCAGGATGTTAGTATCTTAGAATAACCACAATACGCAATAAAAACTAGCACAGCTAATTTCATAATTATCAACTCAACAGATCAGATTCACATAAATGATTCATTAATAAAAAGATACGTTAATAACTAGCTATTTCACAAAAGATTAATAAACACAAAAATAGTAAATAACAGAAAACATTAACTTGATTAGCATTAAAATTGAAGACATTTGCGTCAGTGCTGCTGCTTGCAGCAACTAAACTGAAATTATCACCATTACTCTAAATACAAAAGGAATCTAAAAAATTATGATGTGTAGTGGGATGAGGCACTAAATAGCAAAGTAGGAAAATCTCTCACTATTCATTGTGTGAAAGTGAAAGTGTTAGCCGCTCAGTTGTGCCTGATGTTGCTACCCCATGGACTGTAGCCCGCCAGGCTCCTCTGTCCATGGAATTCTCCAAGCAGGAATACTGGAATGCATATCCACCCCTTTCTCCATGGGATCTTCCTGACCCAGGGATCGAACCCATGTCTCCTGTATTGCACGCAGATTGTTTACCATCTGAGTCACCAGGGAAGCCCCATCACTGTGTGAAGAAAGTGAAAGTTGCTCAGTCGTGTCCAACTCTTCACGACCCCATGGACTACACAGTCCACGGAATTCTCCAGACCAGAATACTGGAGTGGGTAGCCTTTCCCTTCTCCAAGGGACCTTCCCAACCCAGGGATCGAACCTAGGTCTCACGCATTGCAGGCGGATTCTTTACCAGCTGAACCATCAGGGAAGCCCCGTTTACTGTGTATCTTTGGGCAAATGAATCGCTCTTGATTAAGAGTTGGACAGCATGTCTCCCAATTTTAAGATCAAGGTCTAGTTGAATTGATTGGCTTAAAGTTTACTGAAAATTCCCATACCCAATTCAATCCCATATATTTCACTAAGTAGTAACTTATTTCCCTTTAAAATCAGAATGACACCAAATGTCACCTCTTCCTTAATGAAAGGCAGCAATTTACATTAAAAGTTAAAAAAAAAAAAACAATCATTTGAGCTTAACTATGCATAGGGAAAAAATTCAAATGCTTAGTGTTTATGCATTAACATTAACAACTGCCGTACCATTAAAACTGCATAGTTACTAAGGGAGTAGCACTGAATGCTGGTGATATTTTCATCCGAATAGAGTATATGGCACCCATCTGACTTCCAGCCTCCTTGTCCATTCAGCAGATCGAAATCCCACTGGGCAGCCACAGCATCTGCTCCATGCGCAATTCGACGCAGCGTCACATTAACGGGGATGTGGTGGGTATCAACGTTCACACCATCTGGAGGAAATGGGAAATAAAAATATTTCCGAAACAAATTTCATGAACAATTAAATGTCAACATACACGAATGGGCATTCTGCAAATATCTTTTTTCCTCTAGTGACTCATTAAAATGAGAAGGAACAAAAATAAGCATCTTTAGGAGCAGGGAATGATCGAGTCGTGCGGTCCAGTGACTACGGGAAGACATATGCCACAGACAAACCTATTTTGGTGAGAATCACGGGGGTAACCACTGTACGCCGTTTTCCATCATCGGCCAAATTTGTTGAATTCCCGGTGGCCGGAAAAAGCTTTCCATTGCGGAACGCGATGAGTTGCAGCTTATAGAGAGAGTCATCACTTGGTCTGACTTCTCTTTTTTGCTTTGGTGAGAAAAGGGAAGGAGGAAGCTGAATAGAAGCCTCCACAATAGTGTTCTGAAAATATATTAAAAAAAAAAAAAAAAAAAAAACAGAAGAGTTACCATCTGAGGTTAAAACCAGAAACATTTTAGACAGCTATGAATACTGTCCAGTTATATGCTGAATACAGGTCTTAAATATATGAGTGAGATTTAGTAGTTAAAACAATTCATTCATTAAGTGAAATGCACAAAGATCATATAACAGCACAGAACAAAAGAAGTAGAAAATCAAGAGAAATGCAAACTCTATTTCAAAGCATTAAAGTAGTAAGCAAGGGATTATTTCAAAGTGAATTTTCCCCTGATACTGTATACTGCTGAAGTAAACAGCATTAAACAGAAGAAGATCTCAGCAATCACTCTGCCTATGAATTTTACAATGACAAAACATGGTGAATGAGCACAAAGGGAGCATATCACAAATGTGAGTATAATTAATTGGGCTTATGAAAACTTTAAGGTGATTTACGATAGATTCCGACTGTCAAAGAACAGAAGAAATCACACAAAAACATAACAGAACTTTAGACTCAGAAACACATTAGGTTTACAAAAACAGTCACAAAGAGGAACAAGTGAAAATGCTGGCTGGGCACTGAATGTTCTTCAGATTTCTTTATTAGGGATTTTTAAATTATAAATTATTCGGCATTTAATGAAAAATAAATCTGTACCCCAAGGAGGCAAATAATAATCTAAAAACTTCCCTATTTAAAGGACTCATCACAGAGCCTTTCTCTTGGCATCAACCTCTGTCTCCAACCCAATGTTCATGATGCCAACAGAATTTCCTCTTCAACAAATCTGTTGTTATTTCAGTTGAAGTAACACCTTGGCTCCCAAATGTTTAGAAAATACGGCCAAAAATTCTCAAGAATGCCATATAATTTGGCTAAAATCCTTGCCTCAAATTCATCTCTAACACTCTCTACACCATAACCTATGACTGGGCCACAGTGAGTTTATCACTTTTTGGGGGGAGGGAGGGGGTCACATTGACAGAAAAATATATATACTTAATTTATTTAATTGGAGGCTAATTACTTTACAATATTGTGGTGGTTTTTGCCATACACTCACATGAATCAGCCATGGGTGTACATGTGTTCCCCATCCTGACCCTCCTTCCCACTTCCCTCCCCATCCCATCCCTCAGGATCATCCCAGTGCACCAGCCCTGAGCACCCTGCCTCATGCATCGAACCTGAACTGGCGATCTATTTCACATATGATAATATATATGATTCGAGTTTATCACTTTTTGACATCCCCTGCTTTTTCTTCTTTTTTACTTATTTATTTTTGGCTATGCTGGCTCTTCGCTGCTACACAGGCTTTTCTGCAGTTGTGGCAAGTGGGGGCTCCTCTTCAGCTGCAGTGCCTAGGCTTCTCACTGCAGTAGCTTCCCTTCGTTCCGGGGCACAGGCTCTACAGTGTTCAGGCTTCAGTAACTGGGGCCCACGGGTTCATCACTGGCAGCTCCCGGGCCCCAGAGCACAGGCTCAATACTTGCGGCACACAGCTTAGCTGCTCCGCGGCATGTGACATCTGCCTGGATCAGGGATCCAACCCGTGTCTTCAGCATTGGCGGGCGGATTCTCTACCATTGAGCCACGAGGGAAGCCCCATCCCCTGATTCCTAAATACCACTGAGCACAAGCCAGTATCTCTGGCTGAAGTGCCCCATGATTCTTTTCCCTGGTAAGCTCAAACTGCTCAGATTCTGATTTTTAGTAAGTTAGTTTTGCTGCTCCTGCAAAGGATGGATCAGGATGCGCAAGGCTGGCGGCCAAGAAGAGAAGGACTTTGCAAGGTTTTATTAATAGGGCTTTTGGGGGTGATTAATTACATCACCACTCCAGGCACTGCTCCCTATTCCGGACTCAAGCAGCATTCTGCACACAGTGTAACTAAAGTCCTAAAGTATCACAGTCTAACTGACTGCCTACTCCTCTTAACGAGGGTGAGAGAACTTCTGAATGTAGATAATCTCATTTATTTTGGGACTGCCTATGTTAATAATTGTTCCTGGCACTAGCATTAATAAAAGTAGCCCATTGTTTATGAAATTAATGAAAGTCTGTGTGGCATTTTTAAGGTTCTACTGAAGCAAACGATTGACTCAGGAATTAGTTCTTAACTACTGTGCTTAAAACAGTGTTATAACACAGCAGATAACCATAAATATCTGCTGAAAGCATTTTTGAAGTTTGAATATTGATAGGTGAACATTACTTTTAAATTGCAGATGACATGAAAACATTTAGTAGAAATATTACATCTAAGAAAACATATAATAAGGTTTCTACTATTCTCACAAATACAGCTTGATAGGAAAACAAAGATATTACCAATTCATTTACTAACATAGTAAATTTCTATTAAGTATATAAATTTATCCTCAGTATATAAAGATGCATGCCAAGACAGAAAAACATAAACAGATCGATTTAATTAGAAGGTCAAAATCCTGATGAAATGTTACATGCTGGACATTTATCAAAACTTAAGTATTTGAAAGTCCATAAAATAATTCTATTATGATCACAAAATAACTTGAAAACAAAGCACAGCTCTCTGGGAAAGTATTCCTTATGATAAATCAAATTAATTTAATACAGAAAGTCATACTTTACTTTCTAAAAGACAGCTGAAAAAGGAAATGACAATTACAGTTTCTACAAGTCCAATTTTTTTTCTATACAAATTTAAACTGGCAAAACCAACCCAACAACAAAATCTAAAAAACTCTGTAGTAAGGAAAAATCCCTGAGAGATGAGAGCTACAAATTCAAGGCTGTTACATGTTTATAATTTATAAGATATCCTTCAAAGTCCAATAAAGAGTATTGCCAAATAATAATTATAGGTCCCTTGGGGTAGCCTAGGGGAGATGGAAAAGCAAATTTCACCTGTATCAACAATATTTTTATAGTAGATACGTAACACTTGCATATTTAATCTCTTTAGAAGAAGTACTGATCATTTATTATAGAAAGGTTGTAAATCTAATGAAAAAATTCACCAAGGAAGACATCCCTGGCAGTCCAATGGTTAAAACTCTGTGCTTCCAATGCAGGGGGTGAGGGTTTAATCCCTGAGTGAGGAACTATGATTCCACATGCTATGTGGCATATCCAAAACTAAGGGACATATTTGATACACTTATTGTGACTATACATTTGCCACTTCGCCTGAAGACAAAAACACAAAGGTAATAATTTCATTTAAGCATATATTCATTTTAAAATATATATATACCTAATGTATATAGTGTATATATCTATAATATATAAATAATGTATATATAATATATATCTAATGTATATATACCTAATACAATATAAAAGGATTAAAATAAAAGAAAAAAGAGTGACTTTAAAAAAAATAAAATAAAATGTATGGATTACAGAAATGGAAATTGATATAAAACATATAAATTATAGCTACTAAATTAGAAAAGTTTCTTTTCAAAAGGCTTGGGAAGCCCTCTTACACTGTTGGTGGGAATATAAGTTGATGAAGTCACTATGGAAAACAGTATGGAGGTTCCTTAAAGAATTAAAAAATAGATTTGCCATATGATCCCGGGCATATATCCAACAAAACAAAATTCAAAAAGATACCTCCACTCCTATGTTTATAGCACACTATTCACAATAGTCAAGATATGCAAACAACTAAATGTCCATTGAGATGAATAAATAAGGAAGATGTGGTATATACATACAAATGAGATAGTACTCAGTCATAACAAAATAAAATAATGCTATTTGTAGCAACAAGGATGGAACTAGAGATTATGACACTAAGTGAAGTTAAGTCAGAAAGACAAACATCATAGATATCACTTACATATGAAATCTAAAATATGACACAAATGAACTTACCTACGAAACAGCAACAGACACACACACAAAGAGAACTGACTTAAGGTTGCCAAAGGGACTAGGGGAAGGATGGACTGGGATTTTCGTGTTGGTAGATGCAAACCTTATATATAGACTAGGTAAACAAGGTCTTACTGTATAGCACAAGGAATTACATTTAACATCCTGTGATAATCATAATGGAAAAGAATATGAAAATGAATACAAACATATATATGTATTGATATAACTGAATGACTGCTGAACAGCAGAAATTACCACACATTATAAATCAACTATCCTTCAATTAAAAAAAAAAACTCTTTCAGAAAGACAAGTTTTTGGTGTCTATTACAGTATCTATTGAATATGCCACCCCTGGGGGGCTGGGGGGAGGGGGGGACGACATGGGATCTGAAACAAGAAACCAGAATTTGGGTCGCAGCATCACCAGGAAGTAGTGGCTAGACACTGCAAGATTTTGTCTACCCTCTGAGTTGCATTTGTTACATATCCTAATGACCTTCCTAACAAAGAGTTGTGAGGACCAAGTGGCATCATAACCATGACAAGCATGAAAGGCAACGAAAGGTGGTGTTTTTATCATCATTTCAGGCATAGCTTGTTATATTGCACTTCACAGATACTGCATTTTGGGGGTGGGAGGAGTTGTTTGCTTTGATTTTAACAAATGGAATGTTTGTGGCTATCCTACATTGTCAGATGGTTATCATTTTTTAGCAAAAAAAGTATTTTTTATTTAAAATATGTACATTGTTTTTTCCCCTTCGTGGATCATGACCTTGTCAAGGCAAAGGAGCTTGCATTACTCAATGAAGCCTAGAGCCATGTTGTGCAGGGTCACCCAAGATGGAAGAGTCAGAGTGAGAGTTCTGACAAAATGTGGTCCACTGGAGGACGAAATGGAAAATCATTCCAACATTCTTGCCACGAGAACCCCATGAATGGTATGAAAAGGCAAAAAGATGACATCAGAAGATGAACCCCCAAGGTCGGAAAGTGTCCAATATGTTACTGGGCAAGACTGGAGGGCAATTACTAATAGCTCCAAAAAAGAATGAAGAGGCTGGGCCAAAGCAGAAACAACGCTCAGCTGTGGCTGCATCTGGTGGTGAAAGTAAAG